CCAAAAAAAAAAAAAAAGAAAAAATAATAATAATAATAATCACAAAGCCTTTCATTACTCAAATTGGTGTCCATTATGCAAGAAAGGAAACGAATCACAAGGCCACTTATTTATGCAATGCACATACGCTCATAATTTTTGGTTGGACAACGATTCTCAACAATATATTCGAATCGCATCTCACATTTCCTAGAGAGGTAAATGATCTATTGGACATGTCCTTAACATACCACCCTTTCAAGAATGCAAAAGACCTACTATGGAAAAACCTCATCACAGTTTTCTTTTGGAATCGGTGAAAAGAAAGAAATCAAAGAATATTAAAGAATATTCGCAGAAAAGACACAAACTTATACAAAATTATCTAATATTTTTACTTCCTATGTTGTTTATTAAATCTTGATGTAAACTATCTAATATTTTTACTTCCTATGTTGTTTATTAAATCTTGGTGTAAACTATCTAATATTTTTACTTCCTATATTGTAACCTTATTACTTCCTATGTTGTTTATTAAATCTTGGTGTAAACTATCTAATATTTTTACTTCCTATATTGTAACCTCTCTTAGTATAAATTGGGAAGGTCTTTTGTAAATATCATGTCGTAAATTTCACATAATCACAGCTCCCAGTCTTGGAGGAGGATTCTACCTAGTTTCTTGTATCTTAGACACTACGGACGAACAAAAAGTAATTTGTACATGTTGCAAACAACTCAAAAGTATTAGGACTCAGATTCTCCTATTTCTTTCCTTCAAAAGCTCCCAAATAAACTTCCCTACAGCACACCTTCACATAACTCCGGCGTTTCCTCTAAAGGCTCTTGCCATTTAAAGCTTCTCATAGCCAATCTAAGACAAATGCCGGCTTACATGATAAAAAATCGAAGGCCTTAAAAATTTGATTCCACCCTCTCAATGCAAAAGGACACCTGAGGATGATCCATTGTTTTCTTCTCTTTAAAAATTTGATTCCACCCTCTCAATGCAAAAGGACACCTGAGGATGATCCATTGTTTTCTTCTCTCCTTAAGCACAGAATACGCACCAAAATAAAATAGTTTCCCGGTGTCCTTTGATATCTATAATGAGTGTTGAAGGAAGGGTCTTGATTTAAGGAATATTTGTGTAATTAAGAGATATTTGTGGAGTCCCTGAGTGTTGAAGGAAGGGTCTTGATTTAAGGAATATTTGTGTAATTAAGAGATATTTGTGGAGTCCCTTTACATAAAGGAAAATATTACCTTATATGTAGGGATTGATTTATTTATATATTATTATTACCTAGTATCTAGGGATTTAGCTAGATTTAATTTTATGTAGTACCTAGGAATATTTTTTTAGCCTTTCCGTATCTAGCTAGATTTAATTTTATGTAGTATCTAGGAATATTTTTTTAGCCTTTCCGTATCATAAAAGGAACCTGTATCTTTATGAAAAAAATGAAGAATTGAAAGCAAGATTGTTTATACTTGCAACGACTTTTGTGATCCAGACTCCATAGGAACACAGTTATCTTCCTTGGGTGATCAAACTTCTGACCATTGGAGTTATAGGCTTTTGGCTAGTTTTTGTTACCTTTATAAAATCCCATCTAGTAGAGAATGCCCAATCTAATGATAGGCTTTTGGCTAGTTTTTGTTACCTTTATAAAATCCCATCTAGTAGAGAATGCCCAATCTAATGATATCATGGATATGAATTGAAGCCAACTGTCAAATTCTCTATCTATATTTAGTAAGGAGATTTCCTTTACCTTTCTATTGGGGAAATGAAGGCTTTATTTATTAATTGATTAGAATCCAAGATTGCTTGTTGAGCTTAAGTTTCACCTTGATGCTTGTCTTTTAACGACACAATCGCACTCTTAAGGGCAGCGGACTAGCGATTGTGCGGCACTCACTTTCCAACGACAAGTGAGCTGAGCCAATTTGTACTTGCGTCGCCTACGGCCAAGCGACGTATGATCGAGCCTCTAGCCTCGGTTTTAAAAGAAGGTTTTGGAAAACGAGGGTAGAGAGAGATTTTAGAAAGAGAGATTTTTGAAAGAGACGTTATATAAGCAAGCAAGAGAGAGATAACAACGGCTTAGCATATATAACCTTGGGTAGGGAGAAGTTGACAAGACTTTGTGCACCTTGAGGGTTTGCAATCATATTTTAGGCAGCACTTGATGAAAAGGCTCATTAGCACAGTAGACTAGATAGATAATGTTGCAAGAGTAGCTTGTATTACTCTCTTTCTTGTTTTTCATCAAAGAAGAACATAGGCCTATTTATAATATATATATATATATATTATAAATAGGCTAACTAATCCCTCTAGAGAATAGGAAACAAAAAGGAAAAGCTAACTAATCCTCTAGAAATAGGAAACAGAAAAAAAAAAGCAAACTAATCCTCTAGGGAATAGGAAGCATAAAGAAAAGCTAACTAATCCTCTTTGGAATGGGAAATATTACAGGAAAAGAAACAAAAAATAGACTAGTTCCCTTCCTAAATGGGACTACACCAACATTCTCAAATTAAAGGTTATTCTTTTGACAGATACATATAGTGCTTATAATGCGGCATCTGATGCTCTCTAACCTTTCTCCTCCCTCTCTCCTCTCCCTACCGGTGAAAGATGAAGCCTCCGACTGATAATCATCCTAGAGTACAAAACCATTTTCACCTCACTGAAGCTTCCTCTGATCAAAGCTTCTTCCTCACTTTTTCCAATGAAAATGTCATGGCTCCTTGCCTGTTTTACTCAACATTGTGACCTTTCCCTGACTTCTTTTTCCAATGAAAATGTCATGGCTCCTTGCCTGTTTTACTCAACATTGTGACCTTTCCCTGACTTGTAGATATCCTCATAGGATTATTTGAATCTTTCTTATGTGAACTTGATTACATGGGAAGGGTGATAAGATTCTTTTCCTTGTTTATCTAAATGAGTGAATACTCGAGATTTAGAGCTATGAACATGCATTTGAAGACATTAGAAATCTAAGTTACTTTTTGGGGATGGATGTAGCTCAAACAAACTACAGGATCTTGTGCTGGAGGAAATATGTTAAATGATATTCCAAATACTTCAGAAGAACATGGGTTTAATCCAAGTAGTTCTGGGACTTGTGAACGAACACTATACGTTGGGTACTCATTGAGGAGGAAGCAATGTCTTGGTTATTGAAAGTTACATTGTTAATAGGAAAACAAATTATACTAAAAGCCTATAGTGGAACATGTAATGTCAGTAGCTTTTACCTCATGGTGGAACATTTGTGGAAAAAACACTTCCCTCCATGGCTGACCAAGGCGTGGTTTCATTCACAAAATGGTGGAACATTTGTGGAAAAAACACTTCCCTCCATGGCTGACCAAGGCGTGGTTTCATTCACAAACTAACAGGCATCAAATCCACCATTTGGCTCTTGGAACAATGAGACCTTTGGCTACACTACTTTTCAGAGGAACTATCTCTGTACAGAACTTATTTTGCGCTCTCGAGGAAATAGGGACCTTCTTGCTATTTCAGAGGAACTATCTCTGTACAGAACTTATTTTGCGCTCTCGAGGAAATAGGGACCTTCTTGCTATGCATGGTGCACAGAAAAAATCTATCAAGGTTATACTCTTTTCCTTGGCCCCTATGGAAGAGACTCTTTGGAGAGAAAATGCAAAGCCAGATGTTGAATGAGATCCTTGTAGCAAAAGGCTTTGGAATTGAGTGAAGGAGATGGATCTGACGGTATATTTTATCCACCAAGTTTTCTATTATTGTGAACAGATGTCCCAGAGAGGAGATTCTTGCTTCTAGAGGATTTAGTTAAGGTGATCCTCTCCGATCCCCTCTTTACTTATCATTATGATGGACTGCCACAATAGAGTTTTGTTCCAAGCTGCCTCCAAGAACTTGATCAAAGGCTTTGAGATGGTTAATGGATCTATCAACATAAATCATCTACAATTTGCCAATGATACCATCCTTGGGGCTTATCTCCTCTATCACTCTTGATAAGCATGCCTAGTTAAATACAGTTGGAACGCAGAAGCTGAAATGTGGTATTTAAAGATAAGAAACCTAATGAATGCTGAAATTGAGGAATTGGCTGATCTTATGCATTCCTTGTCTTTTGTACACCTGACACAATCGTCAGTTTATGGGTGTGGAGGCTTGATAGCTGAGGATTCTTCTCTACTAAGTGCTTACTGAATGACATCGACTCAAAAATGAATTGGACCTTCTATACAAATCTATACAAAGATTGAAAGAGATCAGAAGGTTTTTTTACAGCCGAGGAACAAACTATTGAGCAGTTTTTTTTATTCCACAACTTTTTTGGCCATCACTTAACGTAAATTATCTCCTCTGATCTTTCATTATTGTTATAGCTTAAGAAGTTTTATCTAACTCCCACTGGTTGGAACTTCTTTTCCCCCTCGTTTTTTTTTGTTAAATTTCATACCGTGAACGAAATTGTTTCATATATTTAAAAAATATATATATAAAAAATTCTATAACCGGAGAAGAAATGGCCTCTTTATGCAGTTTTTAATTTCTCTGAACGAAAGATGCTATCTTTGACGGTAATAATAGAAGTACTTATGACTTGTAGGATAATGTGCATCACACGGAACCGTATCCTATCCTTCAATTTAATGATGGGTTTGTCCACTTATCAACGAGGTGGAAGTGCAGCCACGGCAATAGGGTATGTGCTAGGTTCCATGGCTTTTTCTAAGAATGAGCGCTCACCTTTCATTTTCATGGTCTTCATTGTCCTTTATTTACTTTTTTTTATTCACAGTATCCTCCAAAAAAGTGTTCAGCTGCTCTGGTCGTCATTTGGTCCCCACTGCGAATTCTTTAGTGGGAGTTCATTTCGATCAAACTTGAAAGATGCCTTTAACCTTTACAATTACCAAATAAGAGATACTAGAACCCTCATGCATGCAATTTTTGTCTTACTGAAAAATAAGAAACTTGAAAAGCGATCATGAAGAACTTATGCTTGTATGTTCACTACATAGGGTCAAAACTGGTTATTCAGGTAGGACCCGTAAGAGGCGGGGTTTCGTCCACTTGCTTGCCTGGCGTTCTATCTCCACAACAATTGAGGTACAAGCTAAGCTCTCCTTCTTTCGTCCACTTGCTTGCCTGGCGTTCTATCTCCACAACAATTGAGGTACAAGCTAAGCTCTCCTTCAAGATCGAGCACGTGTCTATTATTTCTTGAGATTTTCTTTTGCGTAGTAATGCCAACTATTCCAATGTCATTCAGTTGGTGATCATCATTTTGTCCCACTGAAATCTTTCTTCGATGGTGGCTGTCATCTCAGCAAGCAGGTAATGGGAATCCCCTTTATGGGCAAGTAAACTCATCCTTTTTACTTTTCGAGATGCAAATAGCGTATGACATACATATC